ACTTGTTCCTTCTTTCTTACTCTTTTTATAGGCTCCTTTCTTTGACATGCAATGCTAAGGTTCCCCAGTAGATGCCCTAAGAGATCTCTTATAAACGTAATGACTAAGTACTGAAATTGAGTATCTGCAGCTTTCTCTTTGTGTGGAGTTTTTTTTAATAGAATCTGTATTATCTACTATCAAGTGGTATTATGCTTTCAGATTTCAGCGATAATGAATAATGAAATTATTTGATCCCAAATGAAGTTGAAAAAAGCTGGATGATAAGAAATTAAATATTTATCCTTATTGCCTAATTATTTTTCCATAGTAATTTTTAATGTGGATATTAATTCTGTAGTGTATTATCTCTTTACTGTTTAATCAGTTGTTACTTTATATTCACAAGATGAGAACGGGGACAATGTCATCTTGTCAGAATTACTACCTCTGCAAAGCTGCTACACACTGAAATGAACTTATACCATTTATTCGATTATAAATAATGGAAAAATCTACAGATCTAACCTCAGAGTCTAGGCTTTTTTCCCCTCCTGAGTTTACATCTGTTGTTTTGTGGTATAAATTTGAATTATTTTGATGAATTTCAAAGATAGGTTTCTTGGGTGTGAACAATATTGCATATTCCTTTTATTTGAGTCCCTTTGTGAGAACCCACTTTGAGGAGATATGGGAAAAACCTTAATGTGCCTTTATGATCCTTTTTGTCATTTGGGAGATCTCCTGTGACAGATGGTTGGCACAACCTTTCTCCAAGCCACAAGTAAGCTAATTTTCTTCTATGCCATTTGCCAGTGTCTGTCATTCTAGTGCTTATGATGCCCTGCTGTTATAAAATAAAAGCACTGGTCCAGGTCTAAGTACATTCTTGTGCTTTTTTTTCAGGACAGAGTTTATAGATTATCATCTTTCATTAAAACACTGAACAGACATTGAATGAATTACATTAGTGGAAAACGAGGGAAAGATGTATGTGTCCAAACCTCATGCAGTGTGTGTGCAAAAGAGAGAGATTTGGAGGATTATTCACGCTATCCCATATCAGAGCACCCTGAGAGTTCCTTTGCTGTCATTGACTTCAAGCTAATCAATGATCTTCACCAGTAACAGCTGCACTGAAGGGGCAGCTGCTGCTGTCTTCAAAAAAAAAAAAAAAAAGGCATAATTTTTTAAGAAGAAGTGGAAATTAAACCCTACAAATGGCAGTACTTTGGATTGCATATTATGAAATAAGATTTCATTGCTGCTTGAATCTATCAGTGCCTAAAACTATTTTTATTAGTAAGCTACAAATGCAAGTGTGTTTAAAGTGCTCCATATTCCTGATAGAAAAAAATATTTTTTTTTTTTAGTCTTGTTTACTACATTGTAACTGTCAGGTTAGTTGGGACAACAATAATACTTGATAGTATCAAATTTTAATATCTTAAATTCTTCAATAAGTATTCCCAGGAATGCTTTTCCGAATTTGAATGTTGAAAGACATATCACAGAAAAATAAATTGAACTTGCAGGTGGTAAGGGGTACCAAGCCACATGGAAGTTACTGAAATAAACTGAAGAGTGATTAACAGTGCAAGTTTGTGAAATTTCATATTTTTCCCCTTACTGATTGTTAATACAAAATCCCAAGAACAAAATAAAAAAAAATTAGCTTTAGAAGTGCTATGAGTAGAAAAGCCAAGAAAAGAAAAATAGTCGCTTCCAAAATACTACACTTACTCTCTAATTCAGCATTTATTTTTTGAATGCAATGCTGTTTACAAGGAATGTAACCCCTTCTCCAGAATTATTTGCAGTAGAAAAGGAGATACAGATCAGTCAAAGAAGGTGACTGTTGTTCTAACTTCAGTGAGTTATGGATAGGCTGTAAAGTATGAGAGCATATGTTTTGGACTATCTTGGTTTTGGACTGCTAGCTGAAGTTAAACCACAACATGGACAAATACTGAATGGGTTGCTAAACAACTTTTACCATGTGTTATTTGCACTAATTTTCCTTTAACATATTGAGACTTTGGCCTTCTATTTGTCTTAAACAAAATTTTCTGCTTGGATCTTATATTAAGCAGCATCTCATAAATACAAAATAGGGAATCTTTGTTATTAACACCTATAGTCTTAAAAATATAAGCCAGCTTTGAAGTTCCTCTGTGTTTCTCATCTTTACAAGAAAACATCACTACTTGCTGCATGTGTTCTCCTTTGCTCAATGGCAGTGCTTCAAATATAGTAATTGGGGTACAAAAATAAAAACCAAGCATAACTGATTGTCAAGCACATGGGACTTGAGAATACCAAACTCTGAAAATTGTGTGGCATTCTGTATGGGATCTGTAAGATACTATCATAAAGTATCCAAAGTGAGGTTATGGAAACCAGAAACATACTACCAAGCAGCAGCAGTCTCTCTCGACTAACAATTAATGGCTAAAGACAGCATAAATTCTTCATTAGAGTAGAGTATATTGGTTTGCATTACATCAAGTGAAGTAATATCCCAGTGCAATACTCTGTGGATGAAAATGTTTGAACTGCTAAAAATGATGATGTAACGTATGGGTCACAAGTCAAAATAACTAAAAAATTAATTCATTAGCATATTTTTTTGTGTGTGTAAAAATAGAGTCAACACTGCACAAAATGGAGCTTGTAGATAGTATCCATTTAGCAGAAGACAGATGTCAGGATATGAATAGGCAAAGTTTATTTTCCAACTAGAGTCTATGACAGCTGATACAGATCTAAATTAGAGGGAAAGTTAGAAAGAAAGTATTCACTACAAATACATCAAAGTAATTTTAATTAAATATGAGCTTTTAAATTGAATATCACGGAGAGTGGACAAAGAAGAAAGATAAGCATGATCAGATAAACACTCTCAAAAATGCAAGAATGCCAAGATACATTAATATATTACTCTGTTGTATCATTATTTACACTCAAATTTAGGAGTGCAAGTCCTCCCAAGATACAGAGATTTTCAGATTTTTTTAAGGGTCTTCCATGTGCTATTTTTGGGGTTATTTGTCTACTAATTTGCAAAGCCAAGCAGTAAGTTATGGTATGTCAAACCTTTCATAATTTGATAGATTTCCTAACTAGTTCATTAATTGGGTTATATAAAACATTCATGTAATTGTTGATTGTTTTATGTACTTTTATAATGGCGAAGGAGAATGGATGTGCAAGATCCCTGTTCACTCTCACAGTGTTTCATTTTCCTCCTAGTTTTGAACAAGTTGGTTTTGGGTTTACCTCTTTCCCAAGGGAGTTTCTGGTGCAGCAGTGCTAGTAGACTCAGAATCAGTTGCAAATGCAAAAATTGTCATTAAGGAGTGGAATTTTATTCTGTCTGTGCTTTGCAAAGAACCTGAGAGGGGATAAGAGAAAAAAACAGGGGAGAAGTAAAATAATAGGGGTTCAGAAATGCTATACAGATGCCAGACAAGCTGCCTTCATGATAACTGGCAATTATAAGGGGTTGGGTCAATGCAAGTCTGGTTTATTTGGCTTTATATTCTACACTCTGTGTGTCAAAGTTAATCATGTTTCTTCTTGCAGTGCTTTGACCTAATTAGCAGTGCACGAAGAACTGCCTCACAAAATAGTAACAAACTAATGCAATCCAACTTATCCCATTTCCTATGTTAACTAGTTCAGGTTTTTAGGTTTTACCTAGTTTTGTTTCTTACTACAAGTTTGTTCCACATGTTGCCACAAATGTAATTAACCTAGAAAGCTGATGTACGTCAGAGCAGCTGACCTCTGTCTGGCTTTACCCTAGTCATGGGTGATTTAAAGACAGTTTAATACTTTAATCTGTAACGTATTTTCCCAAAAGGCACGAAACAGGTAACCTATAATGGCATGATGAGTAGATACTTAATTTTCCTAATGATTTCACATTGAAGATGAAGTAGCTACTCTTTAGAAGTGGTGGAATGGATTAATTTAAAAGTAATAAATCGGATGACTAAACCTGTTATCTCACAATAAAGCAGATTCAAGTGAGGCTACTGTTTTTTTGCTTGATTTCACATATGCGGATTTCTAATTTTTTAAGCCACTAGCTTCCAGTTGGATTTTTTGTTTATTTCTGTTTGTCCAAAGGTACCTTTTTTACTGCTTATAAACAGAGCACATAATTAATGGTCTTATCTCAAGGTGCTTTTTTTCCTGTATGTTTTTCAGAACTAAATTATGATTCCCAGTAACATGTCACTGTGTCTGGCATGGGTTACCAGTGAGCTCCACCTCGACACTCAAGCACTGAAATTTGGTATGGACAGTAGGGATTACCGACACAGGCTGTGCAAAGCCTCCAGCATACTTGAGCTTTCAGATAGCCCGTTGATATATTAAAGCTTATAAATATTGCATAACACCCACCCCGCTTGAAGCGTGCAAGCACAACAACCCTCTGTGCTTCAGCGAGGAATTACTCGCCGTTTCACAGCAGTTGCTCTTCTCGCTGCGGCGCCCGCGCTGCCATCTGCCCGGGGCGCTGGGTGCCGCCGCCCGGGGACACGGGGCTCTGGGGACCGGGGGAAGGGAGAGACGCGGAGGGGAAGCCAAAGGAGGGAGACGCTGAACTCTGCCGGGGCAACAACCCCCGCGTGGGCTGGGAGCCCTCTGGCGAGAAGGGGTGGGGAAACACGGAGGCGCTGTATTTTCCCGTCCCATTAAAAAAATATAATAATAAAAACAAAAAAAAAAAGGAAGCGGGAGGCGGCAGTTGAGAGGAAGTTTGGGCGCACGCGGGGAGCCGCGGGCAGCCCCGGGGGCGGCGCGGGGGCGGCGCGGGGGCGGCGCGAGCGGCGGCGGGGCCGCGCGGGCGGGGGCGGCTCCCGGCGCTCGGCGGCGGCAGCGCGGCCGGTGCTGTCCGCGCGCGGCGGTGCTGAAGGGCGCGCGCCCCGCGCCGCCTCCCCGCGGCGCCTCGCGGCCGCCTCGCTGCTGTCCGCGCCCGCTCCGGCTGGGAAGCGCCGCGCTGGGAACTGCTGCCGCGAGTTTCGCTCCGGACCGCTGGCTCCGTCTCTGGACCGCGGCGGGCCCGCTCTTGGCTTTGTTAAAGGAAGAAGTGTTCCTCTCTTTGCGATTTGCACGAGGACCCGGCGAGCTGTTTTTTTCTTTTTTCTTTTTTTTTTTTTTTCCCCCTTGCGGATTTTAGTCGCTCTTGGACAAGGTAAGCAGCATTACTAACACCTATCTATCTATCTGTATTTCACATAAATGGGTGCCAGATGGGATGGAGGAGCTGGCAATTAAAGGCAGAGCAAAGTTGGAACCCTGTCAGCCCTTAGGTCGGTGTAGGGGTGCAGTTTTCAGTGAAAAGGGCTACGTGAACAAAAGATGAATATGAATGAGAAGTTAAGAGGCTTATTTTTATTGAAAACTGGCTCTTAGGGTAATGTTTGGATGTTTGAGAATTTTTTTTTTAGAAATCTTGAATATTATAAAAATGTCTCAAAAGACGTTACAGAACCTTCTTTGTATAAACACCGGGTTTGGGGGACTAGACAAGCTCCGACTGATTCTGTCTGAGGGAAGAGGGGATATGTGAGGTCATTCTGGCAAGTAGAGAGTAAAGTAGGAATTAGCGAGGATTTAAAAGAATAGCCCTATGTTGCTCTGTGTTCTTGTGCGTGCCTGTATGTGTGTGTAACAGAAGGACGGTGATACCTTGTTAGCTGACGAACAATTCGGCAGTGTAACACTGTGAACTTGTGAAACAGCACCTTTATGAAAAGGATCATCCCCACCTCTACCTCCAAGGTCAATATGCTCTGTGTGTGTCCGTGAAAGTTGTGGGTTTTTTTCCTTTGATGTTGGCTGAACATCAGGCCTGCTTCCAGGCTGCAGCTAGGCGTAAATGCAAATCTTGTATTTAATAATACTGTATTATGTTGCATTTCTAGGACTGCTGTTGTTGGTATTTGAATAGAACTGAGAAATGTGGGCAGATGAAGTGTTCTTTCAGCACTGTTTAACCTTTCACAAGCTTGGTAGGGAGCTCTGCTTCAGCGAGGAGTTTGCTGCTGCTTCTGTGAGAGTTGTCAGAGTTGTGCACATGCAGAGCTGAGTGCCACACAGGGATTTCTGCACAAGTGGAGCTGAGTGCCATGCAAGGATTTCTGCACACAATGAACTGAGTACCACACAGGGATTTTTGTCTGAGATTAAGGCTGATTACAGAAGGAATAGGCTGCTGCTGGTAGTCAGTGCTACTGTGATGGTTGAACAGAACAAGCAGGCAAACGAGGTCCTCACCTTGTATTTTTCAGGATTACGTAGTGCTTCATACTCTTTTGGCTGTGATAAATTTTCTTGGGAACTGGGGGACCTAAACCACAAGTATTTCTCTGCACAGTTGTCCTGCATAAGTGCTAGCAGTTGTAGTAACTGTGAGCATAAGGTAACTTTTGCTGATGAGATGAAGCTGATGAAAAGAGGCTGTTTCATAGTGTTGTAGTTTTTTTATTTTTTTTTTGCTCCTGCATAATTTACTTAATGTTAAGGTTGTTTATACTCTAGCTGATGTAAAGCACACAGTAAAAAGATAACCATCGGGCAGCAGCACAGAGCTACTGATGAGTAAAATTGAAAGCAAGCAAATTAAGGAGAAAGTTGTTTAGGTTGCCAGGGCTTTCATTACATTTGGGTAGAATTAGGAAATAGGTTTTACTGTTCTGTCCCTCTGCCCCTCTCCCTCTCTCTAATCACAAAATAACTATTTCTTTCCTCTCTCAACATTAGGGAAAGAAAGTTTATTACAGAGCATTTGCACTGCGTACAAACCTTCATTAATAGTCTACCCATAAGTTAGGACAGCTCTTAGCATCTGTCATTGACATGAATATTAATTCTCTTTGAAATATTTTGATATAATTTTGAATGATGCTTTTTAAGGTATGGAGATTCAGGATGCTTACTTTCTAAAGTAGACATTACAAAAATATTCTGAAAAACTTATTTTGAACTATGTAGTGTAGACAGTACAATAACTGAGGGGAACCTCCCCCCCCAACAGAATAACCCCCAGCCCATTAATTATATGGCCGAACTTTTGATGTTTATACAGGGCCTGAACCTGCAAATCCTTGTTCACTTGACTAGTCTTTATTCATACATATAGTCCTGTTAACAGGAAAAAAGACTATCTCCATTATTACATAATTAAAAGTCATTGACCTTGTTGAGATCAGTCATTTTACCAACATCAATTACATGATAAACTTTGATGCTAAGACATTAATCTTGTGCTTTTAAATTTATGTCTTATATCTGATTTTATTTTCTATGTAATGTTTTGCCTTCATTCGTACTAAGTTGCTTTACTTTGTAAATCATGTTTAAAAAAGGGAGATTTTAAATGGTATGTAGACTCAGAAGGGAGCAAAATGGCACTGCTATTTTTCAACAAAATGGTGTTCTAAATATACATATAGATCCAGTGTGGTCCATAGCCATTTTGGTCACTGGTTCTAATTAGAAAAAGTCTGTCTTCAGTAATAAACTTTCTTCAAGCATATTTGTAAACTTGTAAGGATATGATTTGGTATAAAATGTAGTTCCAAGGCCTTTATCACCACCACGCAACAACTGAGAAAACCCCACATGTTAATGACTTGCCAAACAGCTCACTGCAGAACTAATGCAAAATCAGGGAAGAGTTTTGTTATAAAAACAGGATTCAAGGAAGCTCCCTGTTTAAAGAGCTACTTTATAGACCCTGCTTGTGCTGAGCAACACACAAAGATATGGGTGTGAGGGAATATACCTATAACTAATGAAAATATCAACACGTGCACAACCTGTCAGGATTCCAAAATTTACTTTTGAAAGTGGATCACTTGGTTATTTGCTGTGTTATGGCCCTTGACAGCAAATGGTAATCAGTAAAAGCCCGAACGCTGTGGTTGCTCAGTTGTAGGTGTGTTCTAGACTTACCTAATTATGTCAGTGTGTCATTCAGATTTGTTTGTGTGTGAGTTTATCCAGTAATCCTCAATATTTGTTTAAAAAAGCAAAGATATTCAATTTTAGAAGAAAAGAACTGTTACAATAACACAAATTATGTCTTTAATACATACCAAACTTTTATTTTCCTTAGACAAATGCATGCTGTTCATGTGACTTTATATAACATTTTAGAAAATGTAAATTTTTTGTCATTCTTCTCTGACTTTTAGAGACTAAAATAGTAATGAAAACAAGGCTCTGCTCAGTTTTGTTAGTTATAAACCTAAATATAAAGGTGGAACTCCAATAGGAATAATTCTACCTTTTAATGAATCTGAACTTGGCTTTGATTTCTCAAAGGTAACAGGTCAAATGAAATTGAGGAAGTCAATTCTGAATATTTTTCTCCAATTTGGCAAATATTGTGGGATAATTCTGGATGTTAAATGTTGCAGGAGTAATTCCGGACATTAAATGTTGCAGGAGTGAATCACTGACTCAAGGGGAAGCAATGAATTAAATGCCACCCTTGACTTTGTTTTTCAGGCTTTCTAAGCAAAAGTGGGACAATAATCATTAATTATTCAGTGTAGCTTGGTACTTAATTTTAAAGTAAAATAATTTGATTAACAAGTTTGTTTGTAAATCTGTTTAATCCCATTTTTCACTTCAAGCTTTTTTTTTTTTTCTTCTGAAGCATAGGGAATAGCTGTCAGCAAATGAAAAGATTGGAAACTTGTTTGCATAAGATATTATACATATTTAATACAGCGTGCTTTTCCTTGCCTCTTGGTAGACAGAAAAGACAAAGAACATATTTATATTATTAGAAGAGTAGTAAGATGAAATTTTTCTCTGTAGTAAGGAGACATTGAGAAGGCTATGGGCTGACTAAGAGTTGTAAATATTGCCATGTCAAACTCCCTCTAACACGTCCAATATCAAGGATTACTAATGCCCAGGAAAAATATTCAAGAGAAATCAAACCTACAGGCTCATTCTCTTTTCTGCTATTTTACAAGATCTTTCTTTAGATTTTGGGTTACAAAGTCTTGTCTACTAGAAGGTAGGTTGTGTTCCTTTCCAGCAGTTGCATTTATTAACAGATATGTCTTCATTCGGATGGACCAATGCAGATCAAGAATTTTCTGTACAATTACAGCAGCAGAACTACTTAAAAAATGTTCCCTTATTGCCAGTACCTCTCATTTCTTCTATGCCATTGTTACTTCTGTTTGTATTGGCTAAATGTACTGTCAAGGGAGGTTGCTGTGGTCTAGCCAGGTATGGGCCTTACCAAGTGGCTATGGGAATGACTTGAAAATATGTTTTGTTATCTATTTTTAGCTTTACTTGATAGCAATGTTTATGCAGGTATTTACCCTTACTACCCTATTCAATTAATCACTCTTTTTTAGCATACACTATGTGTAATTAGTGGTGAATTATTTGGCTGCATTGCTGAGTTGTGCAAAACTTAAGAAAACAAGAAGTTCTAAAGAGTTAAAAGACAGGAGAGCTGGCAAAGCTTGCACTGACTACTTGAAGTAGGTTGAAGTTCACAGCTTATTTGCATTTGAATTAACTGAGGTTGGTGTCCAACAGTGCTTTTCAGAGCAGATTTCAGAAAGGCTTTTTTGTCTAATAAAGTTCTTGAAAATGTTAGATGGAAGATGAAGGATATTTAAAATACTTCTTTCTTTTCCTGACAGGGAGAGCTTTTTTCTCATTTTACTCCAAGTGAGGCTTATTGTAATCTGAAATATTTTTACCACTGAATAGGCGGTCTTGTGGTAAAAAGCCACTATCATTTTTAGATCAGAATATTAAAAACTTTCTGAAAGTATTTTTAGTTCCTTCATAGAGAATTTCTTAATATCTACAAAAAGAAATAAAATAATCTGAAAACAGCTCATAACTTCAATCAGATAAAATGTTATTAATTACTAAAAATGTTCTTTTATTAAGTGATAGGAACTTCTAGATTATTACTTTACATGCATTTGCTTCCATAAGGAAACAAAATGTTCTAGAGTCTTTCTGCATTGTAACTCTGAACTATACATATTTCCATTAATATAACAAAACTTTGTCTTCCTAAATAATATGTAAGTCATTATACTTCTAATCACATTTAAATAAATGAATGAGCAATGAAACAAAAACAGGTAGAAGGTAGAAAATTCTTACATGATGGGTAATGGAAATAAACTTTGTTTTTAA